CCCCCCCCCCCCCCCCCCCCCCCTAAAATGGCATTTATGTGGACCACACACGACACCAACCTCCTTCCCACCCCCACTGACGTCATCATCTGGTCCTATCGTTCTGGAGTTGTAGGAAAGTGTATCGGAATAGTTGTGTCCCCAATGCACAAATTAGTGCGGGAAGACAGTGTGTTCCCAAATATAAGTATATATGGGCTGTTCGCTCAATCCGGTGGCCATTGTGACCCACCCCCAGCCCCAAAGTCAATGAAATACTGGCTCAATCCATTTGCATCATAACTTGTCTAGCAACCACGCGAAAAAGGTCACTATTTGCGGCCGACATGGCCTAAAATATGTCCAAGCGTCTAGACAGTTGACCAATGTAAATAGACCAAGTAGAATTGTTTACAAGCAGATTGTTGTTTGTTTGTTTTTGACCGTTTCTTTAGGTAACTATTTCCCCTCAATAACAACCTCACTGCAATCCGAGTCGTCAGGTGTCCCTTCTCTTATATTTTTAAGCAAGTTGTGAAAATTAGGAAATGATCGAACATGTATATGTCACCTAGTTGCATGATTAAGGCATATGTGGTATATGCTCTCGTATGAAGCCCTAATATCATTACACGTTTAATATTGAACACGAAACATGTACTATGGGTAATGGGTACCTGAAGTAATTCAACGATCCTATTACCATCTTGGATCAATTGTGGTCATGGTTGGCAGTTCTCATGTAAATCGTTTTTGAATGGGGCGTCTAAATGTATCCAAACTAGCTAGCCAGGATCATAAACTGTGGTTAAATATGACCTTTATTGTATTGTCAAGCCATTATGCGTGGTCTCATATTTCGATGACCAAGCCAACCCCTCTTTATTCTTGTCTATTACAGATGTAACCTGGTGATTAAGCTCTGAAGCGTCAGTATGAAGATACCAGCTATATATTCCAAGTTGGAGTGTCGTGAAAAATATCATCGAAATTGAAAAGATGTTCGGATGTAAGTCTTATTTATGGTAGTACACTTTTAATGCTGCTGTGTGGATGTGTGTTCTGGTCTAGAAGCTTGCGAGCTTACGACAGACCGGAGAAATGTAAGTAATGCTTCAAACGGATGGAGAGTACTCTATCTCCGTTTGCAACGCATGTATGTTGCAGTTGTTTTCTGCGATATTCTGCGACCAACGGGCCGGTGCCATTACGATTAAGAAATGTAAACAAATTATGGCGGAAATATACGATGATATCAATTGATTCTTCAGATGTTGTAGACGCGTGTTTGGACGTAATACTTCATCATTATAACATATAGTTTGATGAAGGGGTGGTCCTCTAGACCCCCAGTTTATTGCTATATAGTAAGTAACATGGGAAATATCTAATTTTTTGGGAGTATCCAACTTGAAAACTGAAATGACCCAGGATATTATGAAGTATTGTATAAAGAAACCTGGCAGGTGACCACGAGATTGTGGTCTTGTTAAGAAAATTTAAAAACACTATTACCCTCTAGGACAGGTGGGCACGATGGGTTTGTTGACTTAAGGAACCAGAGTAGGGCTAGGGACAATACCCAGAAAGTTCTGTCGTTAGAACCGAACAATACCTTTTGGTGTTGAGGTAACTAGCTAACAATGCGTTGTAAAACGTAAGTCGTTTTAAGCTCCTTAGAACCCACGACTGAGAAACGCCAAGAACGCTGTTGTTTTCAAACAAAAATCTTCTTGCGGATGGCTGCAGATGGCTAAAAGTAGTAAAAGACGAGAAGGATACGTCTGTGGTACAATGCGGTTAGGGATCATCGATACGTCAGAAAGAGGAAGAAGCTAAATTGTATCCGCATCATGACCGGACGGTATCGCGTGTGTTCCCGCATCGGCCAATCAACCAAGTCCTACCGCACCTTTATTTTGAATGCAACAGTCGTTAGCATGCGGCAACTCGATGCGGTTTCCGTCAAGTTATAAGTTGATTAAGAGCTGGTTTGGAACACCAGCTTAGAAGTTAAAACTAACGGAACGGAACATGACCAGCAATCAGCTGTGGTTTGCTTTTGCTTAATGTAGCTTTTGAACAACGCTTGTATGTGTCCCTTTAAACGATGTTCTTTACAAAGCCGCCAACCGCTGAGAAAGTGACACAAAGCCAATTGCGGAAGCCGCTATTGTTGGACAACTGTAGAGTGGCTGAACAACAAGGTGACATTATAGATCTATTCAACTTTTCATAACTTTATTCAATTGACATCCTTCACTGATTCCTTTATATTCATAGACTTTTCATCATTTTAATTGGTCAACCATGTCTGGACGCAACACTTGTAGCCAATGGGAAACTAACTGGAAAGTCCTAAAGTACAATATTTTATTTGCTCTTTACAAAAATGTGATTTGCTACTCCAATTACATATGTCGTAAACAACCAATCAGATATCAGTATTTTATAACGATTCCGAAACCAGTTTATCCTATTGACATAGCGAATATGTAACCCAATTGTTCCATTACCATACCATGTCCGGATGACGAGATTCTTTTTACGGCGTTGACCACTTTTTCAATTATATTCCCTGATACACAGGGGATCCCATCCGTCGTCAATATCGCGCACCGATTGGTCGGTCTTGAACCAATCGTCGTTTTTTGGGAGTATACCAAATCTCGGTGCCAAGTTTTGGTGGTGACTGTTTTATTTTGGAAACTTTTGAAAGACGAGGAATATCTGTCTCTGTCAAGGGCCGATATATATACCAGAAGTTGGAAGGAATATTATAAAAAGATCGATGCCTATAGACGAGAAAAAGGGTAAGCATAGCTTTACTTCAGCAAAATATTGATGTTTCTTAGATACTTTTCCATGTTGCCATAATAAATAAAAATAAATAAATAAATAAATAAATAAATAAATAAATAAATAAATAAATAAATAATTAAATAATTAAATAAATAATTAAATAATTAAATAAATAATTAAATAATTAAATAAATGAATAAATAAATAATTAAATAATTAAATAAATAAATAAATAATTAAATAAATAAATAAATTGATGAATATTGAATAAATAAATAAATAAATTGATGACGTAAGACATGTTTTTGATAAATTAACGAAAATTTAGTCAACAGTTGCAAATTGCTTGAATATGACAAATGGTATTGTTTTGAATGTCTAGACGGAGCTTTGGGAAAATCATTTTTGTCTCAATTAACCAAAACAGTAGACACATTTATTTCAATTAAAATTGACCGCTGTCCAGTCCAAAGATGTTGACTTCCATTGACCATTGAATTATACTTCTGCTTAGTATCACACATAAATCGGTGGTCTTGTTTTCAGCCTTCTTCAATTTAAAAAGCTGGAATACAGTTCAGCAAGTGGCGTTTCTACGGGAGACGTATTTCCATATCTCTGGAGTAGAATCAAGAAAGAAGATCATCTACTGCCAGAGAATTGTCGTCCAGTAAACTTATTATGACATGAGCCCTTTATAATTATAAAGAAAATAGAAGTCTTAAATAAAAATTGGAAAATAGAAAGATATTGAAATTCGAACATTTCTACTAAAAGTTTGGGATAAAAAACAAAAAAAATATTCAAAAATTCAAATTCAACCGCAGGTGGCTTTTAAATATTCCAGAGGTGGACGAAATTTGACCGTTACCCTAGATGATGACATGGCGTTACTTGGACACATCTGTCAGAGCCAGTCGATGAGAAAGCTTGGCCGTATAGTTATGTGATGTGAAATAATCTGGGAAATGTTGGACATAGATTTAAAAAGAATGTACCCCCATATTCTGACAGAAATGTGAGCTCTTCCGCTCCAAGTGGTTGAATTTCACACAAGATGTTCATGTCCATGGCAGATAAGATCATATTTCATTAACTCCTTCCTTAAAGCAATCGCTTTGCTTTTTTGAATTATTTTTTTTATCTTGTAAATCTCTCCAGGTTTAAGTATTTTTTTTTTATCAAATTGATGTATTCTAATGCTGAAATCCATATTCTCAACTTGTGACCTGTACCAGGAGTCTAATAAAAGAAAAATGACCTTTAATCAACGACAGGCAAAGCTAATTTGCAATTTGAATAATTCAATTAACTATTTAGAATAATTCAATTATAAATCCTCTTGATATACATAATTGACTAGAAAGTAGAACATATTTTAACTCTCCACGTAGGTTCGGTACTTAGATTTGCAAAATAAAACATTGTTATACATGTTAAAACATTTTATTAAGATAAAAAATAAAACATTT